AAAATACTAAGAGGGATAACGTATTAAGTTGCTCATCAACAGTCAGGGTGAGGGCTGATCAAGTCACCGTTTCTCCTAGTGTTCATTTCACTTTAACAGGTTTCCTTTTTGGTGCTCAGTTATTTATTTTCATAGAGAGATTGAAAGAAGAATGTATAACTTTACATGTTTCAACAATTAATCGTTTGCTATGTTTAATCTCTCTAACACACACACTCACTTTTTGTTCCACTATTTGAAAACAATGTGTCTGTACCATAACATTGCATATGTAAATAGTTAAGCACAGATCTAAGTATTTAAGGATTATATTATACATATTCATAATACCATTGTATTTCTACAACACTCTTTTTTGCATGTTGCAATTTCTCTGAGATAATTCATCTATTTCCCAGATATACAGCCTTTGGGAATTCCTTTGATGACTACTGGTTTTTGGAAAAGATCTATGTTTATCTTTATCCTTACAAGAAAAATCCTTCTAGGCTGAAATTATTTTCTGCAAGTACCTTACATTTTAACCCACTTTAGTCCTTTTTTGCTGTTAAGAAGCTAACTTTGATAATTTTGATATTTGACAATTTGACTGAGCCACAAAGTGACCAGGTATTTGGTTAAAAATTACTCTGGAAGTGTATGTGAAAATGTTTCTAGATGAGATTAACATCTGAATTAGCAGACTGAGTAAAGCACATGGTCTTCCCTGATGCTGGGGGGCTTCAGGCAATTCAGTGAAGGTTTCACTAGAATGAAAAGATGGAATAAGGGAGAATTCCTTCTCTCTGCCTTTCAGATCTGACATCAATTTTTCTCTGCATTTGGATTCAGACTTGAAATGAAACTTCCAATATTGCCTCTTCTGCTTCTTGGACTAGGACTGGGGCTGCCATCATACTATTGGTTCTCCTGGGCTCTCAGTCTTAGGACTTCTTGTCTTCTGTATTTGTAAAATTTATATATTTATATATGTACAAATATATAGATAGATAGATAGATTATATCCATATATATCCTTATTGATTCTGACAAATACATTGTGGTGAAACCGTTATTCTTTGAGAAAAGGCTTTTCTTCTGGCTTACTTTGAGATTTATGTGTTTAATGTTATGTCATTATAAATGGCTTGGGTAAATTTTGTTTATTCTTAGGATTTAGGATTTATTAGGATTCTTTTCAGATTTTCATCAATTCTGGAAAATGATAACATATTATATCTTTCAATATTGCTTTTCATCCTTTATCATTTCCTTGAAGTCCAGTAACACACTGGAGACAGACACACTCATACCTTTTAGCCTTTCCTTCATATTTTCTATCTCTGTATTTCTGTGCTACATGCTGGATAATACCTTAAATCTATCTTCCTATTCTTCAGTTCTCTCTTCAGCTGTGTCTAATCTGGTGCATAAAATATTTACTGAATTTTTTTTCCAATGATTGTTTTCATTTGTAAACATTCTACTTAGATCTTTTTCAGTTTTGTTTGATTGTATTATAATCTTATTAGTAATTTACACTTATGTATTACTTTTTTCTCATAGCTGTGGGGAGCAACTCGGACTATACTGTTACTGGAATTAAGACTTATTCTATGCATCTGCTCTCCCACAATATGGCGCTGGGAGAGGAGAAAACAGCTTCTACACAGCTGCCTCCAGTTCAGCCAATAAACTGTAGGACTTGCTCCTGATTGGAGAGCAGCGTACTCGGCGTGTGGGCAGCCGAGTTAGGATTGGCGGAGGAGGACTATAAAGGAGGAGAGAGACGGCATGCACCAGGAACATCTAAGGGGAACATCTAAGGGGAACACCTGTGCAGCCCCCGAGAGAGCCGGCCGGCGGTGTGCCGCTCCCCTGCGGAAGTGGGGAATGTGGCCAGGGGGAACTGCCCTTCCACGGAGGTGGAAGGGACAGTAGCCAACCCGGGAAGAACCAGCAGCAAACCCGGGGAGGGCCGAGCAGACGAAAGAACAGCGCAGGGTCCTGTGTCGTTCCTCCATGAAGAGGGGGAGCGACATAATGGTGCCGTGACTCAGATAGGAAGCCTAGGCAGGGCTTAGTGTCGTTCCTCCATGAAGAGGGGGAGCAACACATAGCAAAAAAAAAAAAAGGTAACTGGACTAGTGCTGTGGCAAAGCAGGTAAAGCCACTGACTGAAGTGCTGGCACCCCATATGGGTGCCAGTTGGAGTCCTGGCAGCTTTACTTCTGATCCAGCTCTCTGCTATGGCCTGGGAAAGCAGCAGAAGATGGTCCAAGTCCTTGGGCCCCTGTATCCACGTGGGAGACCTGGAAGAAGCTTCTGGCTCGGATTGGCACAGCTCTGGCCATTGCAGCCTTTTGGGGAGTGAACCAATTGATGGAAAACCTCTCTCTCTCTCTTTCTGCATCTGCGTCTCTGTAACTCTGCCTTTCAAATAAATAAATAAATCTTTTTTAAAAAAAAGGAATGTAGCCCTAATTAATACAAAGCTATAATCCCATCTTATAAAAGAAATTGTTTATTTCCAGGTTTTTCTGTGGTATTTTTATTTTCATCATACTATAGTGTTGTCTGCTATTTGCTCAATATATGACAGAATTTTTCTCACTAAAATTCTGTGCACTGAAAGGAGATTTTTATACTATTTATTTATTTTTATTTTTTAAAATATTTATTTTTTATTTATTTGAAACACAGAGTTACAGAGAGAGGCAGAGACAGAGAGAGAGATCTTTCATCTGTTGATTCACTGCCCAGATGGCCGCAACAGCAGGAGCTGCGCCTGTCCAAGCCAGGAGCTTCTTCCAGGTCTCCCACGTGGGTGCAGGGGCCCAAGGACTAGGGCCATCTTCTACTGTTATCCCAGGCCAGAAGAGAGCTGGATCAGAAGAGAGGCAGCCAGGACTAGAACCGGCGCCCATATGTGATGCCAGCACTTCAGGCAAGGCCTTTAACCTGCTGTGCCACAGCACAGGCCCCAAGAGATTTTTTTTTTTTTTTTCAAAAAAGCCCAAATTTATTCCTTTATATTTAGCCTTTTGAAAAATTCTCTGTTAATAATTCCATTATCTAAATTCTTTATAGTTTCTCTTGTTTATTGTTTTTATGGGATCTCTCGTGGTGGCTTATTTCTCTGCATGCACCGTGATTTAGAGTTCTGAGATCATAGTTTTAAAATTTTATTTCAAATTACTTCATACCCAGGTTAAATTGTTCTCCTCTACATAGATTCCGAATTTGCCTCTGCTGAGTGTCTGAGGACACTACCAAATTGGTTAGCTTTATATTCTCAGCTTGGCTTTTTTGAGACTACACAGTTGCAAATCTGTAAACCCGTGTGATTTTGTGCTTTTGTTGATAAATTAACAAGATACCTTTCTACCTCTTTCCATCCAAGGGAAGTCAGCCAAGAGAGGAAATGTTCCTCTCTGTCTTCCTTTGCAGGTTAGAGTTTTAGCATATTACTTTGTACTGATCATGTCACCCTTTTCCAGTCTGAGCTTATTCAGAGGACACAATCTAATCTCCCAATTTGAGTGAGCTCAACATTTTTTCCTTGTTTCTAGAACATTGTTCATTAGAACAGAAGTTCTGAGTCATCATGGAACCCAGGTCAGCCTTCAGATGTAGCACTAACCTGCCCCTCCTGCTTTGGATTTCTCATTGTTTTGGGCTTGTGAAAAATTCTCTTACTTATTTGCTAATACAGATATTAATTTAAAAATAATTTTGAAGTATTTATCCCACATTTTATAAGGTTGTATATAAGGGGAGTGTTCATTTGTTTGGATATTAAGACTCCTATACTGCTTAAGTTTCAATTTTTTCTTATCCAAGTAATGGCAATGCATTCATTCTGTTAGGTCACAAAATAGCAGATGTGCTAATATAACTGCACATTTAACAGAACTTATTTTAACTCACATGTTCCCATTTTACCTTCATAGTAGAAAAAGACATTGTAATTCAAAGTAACATCATTCTACATTAAAATTTGTTTACTCTGGGACAAATTTTCAAAGCAATTTGTGATCATCCTCAGGATCTATCCCCTCATGTAGTATAAGGCCTAAAATTAATGCTCAATATTAAGTGCTACCCTGGCATCTATTAAAATAGGGAGAGTCTTGATTGGTCTAATCACATCCCTCACTTGGCTTCAGTAAATAAGGTTTCCTGTCAAGCAACTCCTCTTATCAAAGGGAGCAGGCACAGTTCCCACTTAACCCTGCACAGCAGATTTCAAACAAGTCAATCACTCAGGTGCTCCATACCTTCTTGTTAATAACCTTTCACTCCTTGGTTGGTTGTTCTGTTCTTGATTACAAACCACATAACCATGCATGGGCTGCAATATTCTCCTTGGGCTCTGAGCATATGTGACAAACTGCTGTAGATCTCACCTGTCCAGTGTTGAGTGTTGTCTGTTTAGCCATATCTGAATCCCTAGGGCAGGAATCTCTCCTTCACCAATAGGATAAGTAAGGAGCAATAACAACCAATGGTGTCATAAACTATATGAAATGCCCAGCCATAACTGAGGACACCTGGTCAGGTAAAATTAAAGTCTTTGGTAACTGGTTCTGAGAATGGTGAAGGTTACCTGGGAAACAGCAGTTCAATGTTAAGCAGCTTGAGCTAAGATCTGTGCAGTACTGTGTTGTCTTTGTCAGGCACTGCCATCTCTTGCCATCCTATAATACTCTTGCTCCAAAATGAAAATTGATAACTATACCCTGGGGTGACATTCTGTCAGGCTGTCAGGTTCAGCCTGTTTGGCCAGTGGTCTATGATACTCTTGCCTATAAAGGTGGTGATGAAACAGTGCGTTAACCAGCCAGTACTTCCGTCCTGCTTACCACAAGAAGTAAGCCCATAGCTCTCTGGCCTCTGTGTCTATTCTGGTGAGCATTACTGACTGTTTGGGGCAACTATCCATACAATGTAATCATGCATCTACAGCACAGGCCTAAGGATAGCGCTTTGTAGAATTTAGAAAGGAAATAAACCACTACCCTGCGGAGAATTAAGCATGGCATCCTGGTTGTCATTTTTGTTCATGCAAGGGTAGTGACCTTGCTGGTTTCCTGTGTTGTTGCTTGCCTTGCAGTTGCTGCTTGCGCTCTCCTTACCCCCAAGGGTATCAGGATGCACATCCATCGTGGCCCGTGGCCCAGGTGCTGACAAAAAAAAAAAAGAGGATGGAAGAGGAAGGACTATTTGGTTCTCAACTGATCTCCCAATACAAAACCCACAGCACTGCTGTCTATTAACATACCAAAGGGCTAATCTCAAATCATCAACCCCTCTCTGAGCCATAGAAAAATGATGTTATGGGACGTAGACTTCCACCCCAAGGACACTCACTATCTGGTATTCGCTGGAGGAATTGGCAGCCACTTACAAGGAAGGCCACCAAGCTCCCAAACATTTCCCTGGAACCACCCCTAAAGTATGAAGCACAAGAGATTACATGGAGACACAAACCAAAAGCTGTACCTTTACATGGCTAGAAACCCAAAACATTCTTATGGAATTTGTACAGAAAAAAAAAAAAAAAGAAAGGAAGAAAGAACAATGAAAAGAAAGAAGCTAAAGAGAGAGAGTGTAACTAAAAAAGTGAGACAATGGCAGAGGATGATCTGCCGTGACCCACGAAGTCTCAGTTGTTGGCCTGGCATTCTCCTCCTGCATCAGTCTGCTGACTGTGTCTGTGCTGCAAGAGAGATTTTAATCCCCACAGTTTTAGTGAAACACCCATGGCACCCTTGTGACACAGTGAGGAGGTTAGTTCAAACCCAACCTATGCCCAGGGTCTGTAACAACATAAATCAATCATTGCCACAGGGGAGACCCTCTGACCTTGATGAATGATTAGAGAATCTCAAAAAGAAAAAAACAGACATTATCAGGGTAAAGAGAACCCTCCACTACTACCACCAAACATGTTTAGTGACCACCACCAACAACAATAAAATAAACAGAAGAGAGGGTGATTTTTGTCCACAATAATCCATTAAACATTTTCTGAGCAAAAAAAATAGGAAAAGAGAGGAAAATGTTAATTACCCTGATTTGATCAGTATACATATACTGAAATATCATACTGTATTCCATAAACATTTACAATTACTGTTAACCACAAAGCTTTTTCAATGCTTTAAAAAGTAAATGAAGAAAAAAAAAAAACAGGAAAGAAAAAAACCTGAATAAAAAGAAAGGAAACCAGGGCCAGCTTTGTTGGCACAGTGGATTAAGCTGCTGTCGGTGACACAAGCATCCCATACAGGCACTGGTTTGAGTCCCAGCTGCTCTAGTTCCTATCTAGCTCCCTATTGATGTATCTGGAAAAGCAACAGAAAACGATCCAAGTGCATGGGCCCCTGTACCCATGTGGGAGACTTGAAAGAAGCTCCTGGCTTCTGGCTTTGGTATGGCTAAGCCCTAGCTATTGTGGCCATTTGGGGAGTGAACCAGTGAATGAAAAAAATCTCCTCCTCTCCTCCCCCCATCCTTCCCTCCCTCCCTCCCTCCCTCCCTCCCCTCTCCCTCTCCTCTATAATTCTGCCTTTCAAATAAATAAATATTTTTTAAAAAAAGAAATCAATTAAAAAAAAAAAAAAACAAAGGTTCAAAATTTGATACCACTAGAAATCCAGAATTTACTTAAAGAATTTACATAATAGATAACAGGGCTCTGATTGGCTTTTGTGCTTCTATAACATAGGTCCTGGGTCAAATTTGATATCTACTGAAAAATACCAATTGACAAACCTTCAAAGCTTTAGCCAATATTAAGGCTCAAATTACAATTATAGCTGAAGATTATCCTAAAGTAAATCATGGAACCCCCCCATAGTCTTAGAAAAGGAATAGATTCATATGTCTGAGCTTGACCATCAGAACTACTGTCTTACCTAAATTTCCCATGAGCATAACACATCTTGTCCTAAAATATCCCATGGTGTACCTCGATATTCTGACTCAATGAAAAATACATGAAAATTAAATTAACTCTTTGACACTTACAAATGACTTGACAAAATGGAAATCCATGATTTCTCTCCTCCCACTCCAAGTTAAAATAATTAACATAGTTCAATGTTATTTAAAACAGTGCTTTCAAGGATTAAAACTTGTTATATGATAGTTTATGAGTGAATGAGGTGATTATCCCCACTGCTTCTTCACTGAATAGCCCAGTTTGGCCTGTTTAGCTGGCTCTTAAACCTGAAGCAAAAGAATAGTGTTCCATAGTGGATTGCTGCAATTTTAATATCATGGTCCTCCACTATAAAGGTCCTTTACCCAACAAACCGATTACTGAAATTAAAGGCTTGATCCAATCAGCAACTGGTAGTTTTCTATGACAAATTTGGCTAATATGATCTGCTCAGTGCCCATTTTAACAGACTCTCAGTCACAGTGTGCTCTCACCTCCTGGTTTCCCAGGCTACCTGTGGAATACCTCAGCAGCTTTGACATCACACATTCTTTACAGGTAAGACCTTCACTACTTCAGCTTCTCTCTCGGAGTATAGGCATGACATTTGATGATATCCTCCTTTAGGGAGATCTATCTGGCACATTTATTAAGGATATAGGAAGGCACACTTCAAAAAATTCATGGAAAATATGATTAAAAGACAATTATATGCTGCCACCAAAAATTTTTTTTGAAATCCATGCATATGAAAGATCTTCAGAAAGTCCATCAAAAATGCATATTATGAAAAAAGTTTTCATAGATTTCAAAAGTTTTGCACCAAAATAAACTTATATTTGAATTCCAATTTTTAACAAACTTTTTCAAATGCCCTCATACAAATACTCACAAAACAGCTACAAAAAGGAAATGAATGGGCCATTACCTCATCCATAGTACAAAATATTGCCACCTCTACTAAATTCTTGAATACTACTTAGCAAACCAAGGGCTGCTCCATCCCTGACACTCAAGAAATAGATATTGACTCTCAGCATCCACAAGGCTAATGTAAATCCAATATCTTTTAGTCACTTTAGGGGACTAGGGGCAACATATTCATTTGCAAATTTTACTGAATTTTACTAATGCCATCAGTTACAAATGGGCCCATTTTGAAACAGAATCCCTCCAACACAAGGCAATAGATTCTGTCAAAATTGAAAGCAAGAGGCACCCCAGATAGTGCCCTCAAAGGCTTCAGTTACCTTACTTGATGTTTCCTGAAATCTCTGGGCCACCAATGACTGTTATAAGTTGCCTATGGGCTTCTCCTTCAAGAAATTGCCTCTCTTGGCCTTACACTGCACATCATTACAGCAGCAATCACTACCTACATAATGGGCTCTTCCAGAAATATGGGGTTCTGCAGATCTTGAGCCTGTGATGCTCTCTGTATCCAGCTACCCATTATGCGTTGGGCCACTAAAGCATCATACCCCTGACCTTGGCACAGCTACTGAGATCCTCTCACTGAAGGATGGAGTGAAACCTGGACCTTCTGGCATACTTCGTCAGCAGAAAGGCATGGCCTCCTATATCCTCATGCCTTTCTGTACATCACAGTGCTGAAGTCCCTCTCTTCAAAAGTCCCATATCCTTATAAACTTAGAAAAGATAAAAAAAAATAGAAATACTTCAAGTTTAAAGAAACTGCCTTTCTGAGAAGCAAAACTCACTGAGTACAGTGATCTACCACCACATACATGAAGCATTTCAACAGGACTATTTCCTGTTCTGAACCATATATCCTCCATACTATTTCACCGGACCCAAAATATTGAATATTGTTAAAGCAACTGATCTGATTTGAAAACTTTAGTTCATTTTTGAACCTTAGAAACTTAGGTCATGTGCTTGAGAAATATATATATAATTTTGAGTAAAAATTACTTTCATTCTCTATACTCATTAATTACTACATAATATATACAGTATAATATATCTATTGTAAAATTACATATAAAATATAATTATATATGGAAATATATATAGTGTAGATAGATTATAGATAATCTGAGAACACACATTCAGATGTCTTAATATTCTTTTCAGAATAAAATGGAAGCAAATTCTTATTTCTGGTTGTATAATCCTATCTATGATTCAACTGTTCTGTTGTGTTCAGTTGTGCTAAGTATTACCTTCCAATTTATCTTCCATGTCACCAGAACAATTGGCAGACTTAACTGAAAATAAGAGGTCAAAGAGCTTTTAAAAACAATCCCAAGATTTTTAAAAAATTTTTAATTTGTCATGTCATCTGTACAATTTTTTGGTAAAAGATGAAAAAAGAGTTCACATCTTTTGGAGAAATATTTTCTGGTTACAAAGGAGAGAAGGCCCAAAAGAATGAAGCAAAGGAAACTCCTATTAGATTCACTGAGGGTAATGACAATTGACTGCACTCTATTTACCAGTCCATTTTAGTAATTTCTACACAGTAAGACAAGTCAATATGCATCTTATGTAGAATCCTGACATTTCCCCTTGAAAGCTATATTAAACTTTGATGACCTTCTCCAAGAAATGTACACCTCAGTCTGCATATTCTTTTGGCTCAAAAGCTGCTAAAGATTAGGTACTCCACTGGTTCTTTTTTAAGCTTAGGATATTTGCTTTTTATAGCTTTGCCAACATAATCATATTACATCCTGATACCAGGCAGTGTGAATTAATTCCTCTACTTTCTCATGCAACATTCCACAAAGAACGAGATTTTCACTTTAACACCTGATTAAATTGTGGAAAGGCAAAGACATAACAAATGAGGTGTCTGGGAAAATTTCGTCTCACCTGTGCCAGCCTGGAGACTGATAGGGTGAATTTAAAGAAAATTAGCTCTTCTCAGGATTGTCTTAAAAACTTAATAGAGGAGACAATGAGAAATACAGGATAAGAGGAGGAGTAAGAATGGCTAAAAAACCTACTTATCAAAAATTAGTCTTATACCAGATGAACCAAGGTACTGTTTCTCAAACTTATGTGTCCACAAAACTCAGCTGAGAAGTCTATTAACTATTCAGGTTCCCAGTGCCTTCCCTAGAGTTTTCAATCCAATGTCTGACATCATACGCACTGCAAGCACCCTGGGCAACTGTGGCCGCGCAAGTTTGAGAATAGCTGAGTTGGAATAAAGGTTAGATCACATTCTGCTCCAAATTTCTCTGGTAATACATTGGAAAAATAAGTAAA